GGGGGGGGGGGGGGGGTGTGACCATAAATGTGTAATGCGCGTCTCCGACATTTGTTGTTTCAAGGTCGATGCGGAAGTAAGGCGCCGCAGGATTTGGCTGTGACCCGTGCGCACACGGGGTGTCCCAGTCATAGTCTCGAGTTTTGCAGAATCCCTCTGATCGCGTTCCGAGCTGCCACGGCCCGCGAAGTTCACGGCCTCGGACGGAGCCTGAAACGGAGAGGGACTCACTCTCTCGCTCAGCGAATTCTACCAATGCTGCAGGAAACGACATCGAAGCGATAAGACACGTTCATCAGGATTCACTCGGCCCACACTCCAGCTTCTCCAGCCAACGAAAGGATTCGAAGCTGGTCCGAAATGGATTCTTCACAAGGGCCAGGCCTGCGCAGGGGGAGCCAGGAGCTCTGGTGCAAAGTCCATTGCACAAAGGACCAGCAGCGGAGCCTTCCAAAAACGAAGGCGACAATGATCCCCGCGCACCCAGCGCACTTTTTTAGGGCCCTTCCTGTCCCTTCCTCCTTCCAAGCCTCGGCCTCTGAGGTCCCGGTCTCCAGAGACCTGTTTTCACAGCTTTGGGCGATGCTCCCCGGGTGTTTTTGCTCCACATCTCTCCCCAGCACGTCTCCCCTGTGCCTCTGCAGAAGGAGTTCAGTTGCTGCAAACTCCAGGGAGAGGACCACTGTCTCAGCGGTCTCCATCGCATCCAAGCCCAAGGCATGAGGGCTCGCTATTTCTCAGCACGCCGAGATTTTTTGCTGTGGGGCTCTCACAAGCCAGTCAGCGAAAGAGGGCTAGACCAGGCTAGAGTCTAGGGCACGATGGACAATGGAACTCCCTAGTGGGCCCTAGTGCTGCTTGACGCCATCCCCTGGAGCCACCACATCCAGCTGCCGCAAACAGACTAAGGAGGCAGTGAGGCAGGGGGTGCAGCGGCAGTGCTGCGTACCAATCCGAACAAGTGCGCCGTAGTAGAAATAGCTCAGGAAGCCTGGCAGGGGCAGCGCGAAAGCCCTCCGCATCATGCTCGCAAACAAGCCCTCGAGGCTCTGCGGCGTCAGTTGCGCGGGACTGCTGTTGCCGGTACTGTTGCCTTCAAAGGAGGCGAATCCGCAGAGGGAAAAGGCCGTGGCCGTGGCCGTCGGGCTCGGGAGCCGACTCGCAGAGATGTCGAAGATCGGCTGGTCGAGGAGCCGCGCTGCCAGGTGGTAGACCTTCGCGCGGACGCGACTTGGCGCGACTTGGGACTGCGGGGCGACTTGGGCTTTGAGCCTCCCTCCGCGCCTTGACTTTCAGGCAGACGCGCAGGAACTCCGAGTGCACCGGCGTCTGTGGCGAAGAAGAGGGGCCAGCAGTGCGCGGCAAGGCGCCGGTGAAGAAGAACTTGGGGTCAGGCCAAGGTCTCGGGCGTGTCTTGCAGCTTTTCCAAGGCAGACCGCAAGGGTTTCAGGCTCTTCAGCATCGCCTCTCGCATTTTGCTGGCCAAGGCGCCCTTTGAAGCGGAAAAAAGACAGAAAGCCGACCTGCTGCCCCAGCTCGATGGCCATCTGAGAGAAGCTCCGGCAAACCGCTGTCATGGGAGATGCCGCCTTCTTGGCCTTGGCTTTGCTTGGCTTTGGCTCTTTCTCGGCCCCCGCCCTCCCTCCGGCCTGGAGTCCGTCTGCGACTTGCAGGAAGTTGCAGATGAAGGCCTCGGCCAGGCAGGCCGTGCTACACCCAGAAGCGCACAGAGCCGGCGCCCGAGGACCGGACGAAGGTCGCCCGCTGGTTTGAAAACACGGCAGCACTCAGCTGCGCCTGTCAGCGGAGTCCAAAAAAAGACAAGAAGACTGCGGCAAGATCCGCTCTCGTGGCCTGCAGCAGGTAGGCCACGCCCAGGGTGCACTGCCTCCAAGGCGCAAAATTCTCTCAAGATCCCACGCCTTTTTGTGAGGGTCTCTTAGGCCGATGCACGGGATCCAGCGCTTGCAGGGCTTGATCGATCTGCGGTGCGTTTGCCTCCGGCAGGCTCATTACGACATGTCTTATTATCGCCAGGGTCGCTTCGCATCTCTGGGCCTTGAGGGTCTCCTGCTCATGTCTCAGGAAGTCCTCACAGCTCCGCCATTTCAGGGACCCTGCTTCACAAGCAGAAAGCACGCCGTCCTTGAGCTTCTTGAGGTCGCTTTCATTCCTTTCGGGTGGGTCTGCTACCAGGGGCTTACCAGAATGCGGGAATCTGAAACCACTGGCAAACGATACTCTGTAGTGAGGGAAGCCACTTCAACCAGAGTGATCCCAGAAGGCGTCAGTTGGCAGCTCGTGCATTACATCCGTTAACACTTGCAGCATCCATTGGTCTTTACGGGTGGCTCTGACCGCTCGCACGCACGACGTTAAAAACATGTGCATACGCCCAGACCTGCTTGTCTGGAAGCAGACATTATACAATTACTGTGTTCAAGTCCCGGTCTACAGGCTTTTTCGGATGAATTTGACTCCTGTGTTGATGAAGCACCTGCCAAGCGCAACAAACAAGTAATCTCTTCCCCGTAACAACAAATCCCCCGCCGATACAAAGAATGAGTTTTGGCCTCCTGTTCTTTATATTAGGAAGATTTGGGATAGTTTCAGGGTGCACTTCATTCTTAGTGATGATATAGGGTTCAGTGCGAAGACGTAATGAGAAGTTAATTGATTAAATAATTAGTTCTATCGTTGATTTAAGTAAGGTCCTTCACTGATTTGGGATCGGCCCGCAGCCGGCAGACCCTGCCGCTCTACGTTCCTGCGGATCCTGCAGCTGGCAGTCCCTTGAAGCCCCCTGCATTTCCGAAGGGCAAAATGCAATTGCTCGTCCCTGCAGTCCTACGTTACTGCAGCCGCCTACACTGGTGCTGGAACTGACTGGTTTGGCATTGTGTCATGCGATGTCACTGATGTGCGTCCCAAGGGTGATCACAGCTTTGCGTCTCGAGCGGGTTCTTGTTCAATGGAGCCTCTACATGGGTCTTGGTGTGGTATGATGCCAGGGAAGATGACTGCTGCGTCTCGAAAGGGTGCTTGTGGAATCGAGAATCTATACATGGGGAATGTACGGTTGTGTGTGCGTGTTGTGATCACGCCACTGATGATCACTGACGTGCGTTTCGAGAGTGTCCGTGTGGAATCGAGCATATACATGAGGAATGGCAGCTTCGGCAACTTTGGCGTGTCTTGATGCAACGTGGCGTCACTTGTGCGAGCGTCTACATGGGGAATGGCTGGTTTGGTGTGTGCTATACCAGTGATGATGACTGCTGTGCGTCTACAGCGGGTGTTTGTGGATTCGAGCGTCTACATGCGTCTACATGGGGAATTGCGTATTTGGTGTGTTGTGACGCCAGTGATGAGGACGCAGCGAATGCTTTGTGCGACTCGGGTGCTGAAGGCGCGGATTGGTGGTTGCCGGAAACTCATGAAGTAGCAGAGGTCAGGCTTACCATTAGTCTTTTCCGGGGGCTTCCCGATGTGTCACCAGGTCCCGGGGCGCTGCAACATTTTAACATCCGAGCTCCTCTGAATCTTGAACTCCGAGGATGGAGCCTTGGACGGATGGGGCGCCCATGCTGCTAGAATCAACAACTCTCCTCAACTTGGCATTGCGGGGATGGACCGTCGGAATGATGCGTCGCCCCTGACTCCCGACTGTACACTCGAAACTACAAATTCCACGCTGGATCACATGTCCTGGGTGTGAACTCCCCTCACATTCTGTTCGCGGGCTTCCCAACGCGGCTTCCCAACGCGTCTTCAGAATGCGTCTGCGCCTCCTAATGCGTCTGGGCCCTCCAATGCGTCTTCACCCAACACGCGACTTCAGCATGCGTCTGCGCCTGCTGATGCGTCTGCGCCTATTAGGCGGTTGTTGACCAATGCGTCTTCACAATGCGGATGCGTCTTCAGGTCGTTTGCCGCACTCCGCCAGGGCCCCGCCATGTAAAATTCATCACGCCGTTAGATAACTTACGACTTTTAGGCGAGAGTCATGCATGTGTCTCTAGATATCGTTGCGATGGGGCAGGGCAACAATGAAACGACAATGACAACTACAATCAAGTATGCGAAGACATCAAACCTTTCAAAGCGAAGCAGTGAGAAATTTAGACGACATTCAAGAAGGTTGCTCAACACGGTATGACAGTAGAATCAATCGGCTATTTGTTTAAATTATAGAAGCACCCGATGCACCGGCGAAAACAGGATCAAATCAAAGAGCCGTCGACTTGCTCAAACTTACGAATCAACACTACTTGAATTGAGAAGGGTAAGTTCGTAAGGATGGGACACGAACCAGTATGCGGATTCGTTCAATCTGGATACTACCCACCTACCCGTTATTGTCCAATAGAGTTCATTTTAGAGATCGTTTCAAATGCTGGTGAAACAGTTATCAGACCTTCAACACCAGTAGCGGGAACACAAGCAGAAGACGTTGAAAACGGTTTATACTTACCACACGCAATAGTACCACACAGTGGTCAAATCAGAACTGCATGCTAAGATGTGATTTAAAAACTGTCGACAATGCTGTCAACAACAATATGGCTTCAAATTTATTGAAAGGGGGTAGGCTTCGTATGGTTTACCCCGCATCATTCATTCAGTCATACCTTCACGGCAGGAAACACAGAGATCAATATGAACTTTGTTAGGTCTTCAACTCGCTTGTGTCAGATGTTCTTCACGGTCAGGCACAGAAAAATTAACGATGGCACTAAAGCAGGTGATTATGACAAAAAGAGATGGAACTACTCTTTCCATCCTATGGCAGTAACCACTGACAATTTAGAGGGTGTCATTGATTCTAACAAGCAAATCCCGCCAAAAAGACAAATTGCAAATAAGAAGTTCCCAGTACAAGAAATCAGCTCCTTTAGGTTGGAGTGTTTCCTTCGTAGAGCAGTAAATGTAATGAGCCCCTATTATGATGGTTTTAACATTGACGCTCACCGTTATGCCAATGACAAATTCAGCGGGGATATTAACAACTTTGATAAACAACCAGATATGAAATTCACTGGATCAAGCACGAAATGGGATCTTCAATCACAGTTAAAGTTAAAGGAGCCCACGGGATCTTTGCATTAGGCATCAAAGGGGTTTTCACAACAGCAGTGTCAGAACACATGTTTGAACTGAGCGAATCAGCAAGGTTTTAGACTAATGAAAATATCATCATTAAACTAAACAAAATCGAAGTTAATTCACGATGACTTCAATAAACAAGCTAACAGCCGTTTATGCCGACAAGCTTTATTTGGCATCTTCAACGGGTGTAAGCGAGATAGGACACCTACGCTACTAAAACTGAGATGACTATTTCCAACTCTGCAAACTCTGCCGAAATCCAAGCAAGCACCGATGCGATTGACGTTCTAAACACCAAGCAGTTGCAAAATTTCAAAGTAACAAAGCCATCCATACTGATTTGACAAGCACTTATCAAACCAACACACTAGCCACTTATTTTTAACAATAAAGCCGAGATTGATTCAATATTCACCAACTGTTATACATCAACTGAGATAGACACAAATTTATCTACTAACTTCCAGACTGTTACACAATTGCCAGTGATGATATCTGCTGGTGTCTCGAACGGGGCCGAAATCGAAACCACCGTGATTTAGAATGGGGGGCCTCCAAGCCTCAAATTGGTGTGTTGTGATGGAATGGACCGTCTAAATGTGGAATGTCTGGTTTGGTGTGTGTGTGTGTTGTGATGCCAGTCCGGATCACTGACGTTCCTTTGAGCGGGCTGTTGTGGAATCGAGCGTCTACAGCAACGTAGGGCTGCAGGGACTGCCGAGCCACTGCAGGCTGCAACAGCCACAGAGGTGCAGGAACGCGGATCGCACGCGAATCTTTAGGCCTGCAAAGCCTCTGCGGCTGCAAGGTCTCCGGGCTGCAAGCCGAACCCGAACCCCCCCCCCCCTAACTTAAAGAACGCGGGGCCTCACGTGGGTGTGATGATGACTGCTGTGTGTCCCGAGCGGGTGCTTGTGAAATCGAGCGTCTTGGTGTTTGCGGCACTGCCGGATCCCACACCTCGAATTCCGGATTCCAGACCTATATTTCCGGATTCTAGATCTAGAAGGCCGGATCTCTCCGTATTCTAGACTCCCAGTTTCGTAGTATCAATAGCATTAGATAAATTACTTGATCCATTAAACCTCTCTTCCGCCTAAGTGTTTTCCTTTAGCTTCAATTGCAGAGTCTGAAACCGGTGATGCTTTACATAAGGGGCGGCTTTAGTCCAGGGGAAGTGATTAACTCAAACTGCCATCGACTTCGAACCGAGGCTCTGTGTCGATAGCGTGTGAATCTGATGGACGACGCTGTCCATGCCGCTTATCGGGCCTGGTGCGGCAACGCAGACACCACCAAAAGAATAGGCAGACGATCGGAACTGGTTGCCATCAGGCCGCAACGCAAAAGGCCGATTCCGTGGCCTCTGCCATCTTGCCCACTCCCACTTTAGGAACCAACGGCAGCACGAGGAGCATAGGAACAGTGAAGCAAGCTCAACTCTGCATGATCCTCCATGTCCCCTGTCACCAACCAACGAGTACAGCTTCCAAGATAGGCTTCTGAGGTCCTCTAGAGACTCTAGAACCAACACACAACAAGCAAGCTCGCTTCATATCTTGCTTGACGACGCCTTAACATCACTTTACGGTCGACGCTCAACGCCACAGAAGAGAAGTCTAAGGGAAGCCAAGATGGAGAACCACCTCGTCAAGCGATTGCCGGCGAAAAGTGCTCGAGGTTTCGCCTGCTTGTATTAGCCATCCTGGAAACTGGAACGTGCAAGCGTCGGGACCCCGACACAACTGCGTAGAGCGGATGCGACTGCAGCGTACGAAAAAGGTAACAATTGGTGGCACCGGGATCCCTGGGCACTTTGGTCCCTTTGTAGGTCCCCAATGTAGTACGGCACCCTTACAAAAAGGACCCCAAAAGGGACCCTCATTTAGAGAACTGCCCATGTGTCTTGGGTTGAGGCAGACTTGGCACTCGCTTAGTGAGGAGGCACCTTGGCGAGAAGTCCCGGGAGAGATGACATCAGCAGACTAGCCTTTTGTGCCAGAATCTGCGGGTATCCGCGGTAACGGTCTATCTGCCACAGATAGTCTCTGAACCACCAGCTCAATGCTGTGAAGAATGAGCTCTGTATCACCCACTTGCTTCGTGTAAGGCCGAGCCCCCCGGGGAGGCCAGGATTCGCTGACGAAGCACCTGCAATGCACAGCAAGTCCGCCAGAGTCGAGTCCAAGACAACGAACGTTGATGTGTCAGCAAAGGCACCAACAGCACGGGAGCAAGACTTGATACCACACAACTCCGCGCCATCGGAGCGTCGCTGTGAAACACCGCGCATTGCAGGCTCCACCCCGTCATCACAACAGTCGGAGCAGCCTCGAGTTGGCAAAGCACTCCATAGCTAATCGCAGCTAGTCAGCTCGTCTTCAGTGCTCCAGATGCCCCGCACACTGAAACCACGAAGAAGCCAACCATGATGCACAGGAAATGCGCAGATGCTTCAAGCAAAGACCTTCGAACGAGGCACGCCACAGGCATCTCTGAGCGAAGCTCAGAGAGACCATGCCCACAGGCGCACCCTGGAACACACCAACAAACGAAGAAACAGAAACAGATGACAGCACAAATGTCCGCCCACCGCAACGGTGGATGCGCCGCGTGACGGGAAACTCGTCGTGATAGTTGGGGGCCACAAAACGGTCAGAATGCATTTGCGTAACTGTTGTGGGCGCTGTTCTTGCAAACCTTGGAGCCCCACGAAAGCTGTAGTTTAATGTTGGACCCTCTTTAATCAGCCTGCCCCCCCCCCCCCCAAACATCCAAACAAGTTTCAGCTCGTGTTATTAAGGCCCTGAGTTTGGAAATGGATCAAGGTTTTCTGAACAAATGCCGCGCCTAACGAAACAAGGCGGTCTTAGACATAGTGTTATCCACAATGATCCACAATGCACTGACATGAACAGTACAGACACGTACAACAATCGGTGCAATAATGCTGTACTCGAGGAAGCTCCGCGCCGGTTTAGGTTTAGGAGTACTGCAAACGACATCGTGTCAGCTGGCATTGATTGCAGTTGCAGAAGAAGTAGCCGTTTTCAGCGGCTCTCTCTCTCTCCAGGCTTCCCTTGAGGAACCCCGAGCCGCGGCGAGACTTCTCGAATTGTTCGAGTGCTCAGAGCTCAGAGTCGCAGGTGAGGACCTGTCGCGACGTTTCTGCACACGGCTCTCTGCCGTGGCTCCCGGGCTTCGGGCAGTAGGGCGTCTTCGTCTTGTGCATGTGGTCGACGAAGAGGCAGACATCACCTCAAGGAGAGCAGCTGAGGCCTTGAGGGAGGGGAGCAGACCCACAGCACGGGCTGAGGAGGCTTCAGGATTGCTTGCCAAACCTGTCCTCCGGCTTCTCAGCCTTGGAAGGTGAGGAACTTGAGATTCCCCCACACTTCGCGGGTTACATTCGGGCCAGCGCTGTCTTCCATCTCGAGCCGTACATCTGGTTGCACGTCATTGGAACAATAAAGTCACCTCGGAAACCCATGAAACCGATCAGACTCCGAAGAGAGTCTACATTCTGCTAGACTCCTAGACCTTTAGGCACGGGCGCGTCGCCCGCTCTATCTTCCTCTCTGTGGCTGAAGGCAACCTGCGAAGCGATCCGATGTGGCATTACCGGTCAAAGCCGGTCTGGCTTGCCTGTTCTCGGTCGCTTGCCGTCCTGGTCGCAGGCCGGCACAAACTCACACTAACATGTGCGGATATGTCTGCGCAGCGCAACAAAACGCCAATGAGCCAACCCTTCATGCCGGGATCAACAAGGGGTTCGAGAAACACCACACCATGAACTGACAGGAGTGGTTGTGCATGCGGAGGTCGCCAGCAGAAAGGCCGGCCGTCAACCAAAATCCCAGAGAGCTGCACCAGAATGCAAAGCACAACTGCCGAAACCGCGCCATCCTGAACTGTGCAGTACGATGGTTTGCTAGTTGTCCTGCGGCCACGAGTGCGCTTTCCGGGAAGTCGGCAGAGGACACGGTGCCTAGCACCTGAAGGCCGAAGTTGAGACAGGCTGAGCCATGAGTGTGTGACATGGCTAAGCAAATATACCATCTCTGTACGGCGACCAATGCAGGCAGACCAACTCCTTGCATCTGGGCTGCCCGAGCGGCTTCCCGAACTCCTTCCTCTGTCAGCATGCCTAAGTTCCAGAACGTGGGCAACAGCCACTGGCATCCGAAAACGCTTCGCTCTGGTCAAAGCAAGCTGTCGTTAGAGCAAAGAGGCATGGAGATGTCAAGGACCGGCCCAACTCCGGTGCTCCTCACGGCAAGGCGCTCAGATGCACTCAGACCCCCGCTGTGTCTCAGGTCCTGGTCGAGGTGGTGGAGGTGCCAGGTCCGTCGCAGACAGCTTGGAGGCCTTCCTGGTAAGGAGCTCATGCAAGCTGCATTCTCAGCCGCTCAGCGCTCAATCCCTTTGAGACCGCTGCTTGAAGACCCAATCCCAGTCTCCTGTTCAAGGATGACCAGCCCGGGGCGTCGACGTGCTGCTCAGCCTCCTACCTTTTGTTGGCAAGCTTTAATCAACTGGTATGCCATATTGGCATCCCACGCGCGCCCTTTGGCAGCGCAAGAAGCTCGGTGCTTTGCGAGCATTGCGTACATCATCGGCCATAAGCGCTCATGTATGCCTGAGCACCACACATGCACAACTTCGTACTCTGGCCGTGTGGTTCTGGCCTTCTGGTACTCCTCAGCCTCACGCGCACGGGATTGTGGGACAGCCCGAAATGGAACAATAAACTGCGGGTCCTTCGCATCCCTCGCGGCATTGAAATCCTCCAGCTGCTGAAAGGCCTGAGCACGATGAGAATTGGTAGGTTGCATACAGGCGTCCGCACACAAAATCTTTAAAAACCTCAAGCCAAATCTGACGAGTGTTCGTTGAACTCACATTGCTTTCAGCGATCAAGGGACATACGGCCGTCATGAAAACAACTCACGCCCGAACATGACTCCCTCTTTCCATAGACTGTCGCAACCTCTCTACTGTTGCACAGACTGATAGAAAAAACAGCCACTTTCGCACACCCTCTCCCTAGGCCCCCCCGCTCCCCTAGGCCCCCAACCCCAAACCCGCACAGGAGTCCAACTACTGTTTCCACCCTTTGCGGGGCCTTTTGCTTCGCCAGGATTTCGTGGATGCCCGGCGGGTACCGGCCCTGGCAGTGCCAGCTGCCTGGAGACAGACATCCCAAAAAAGGAAGTCTGGAGCGCCGCATGGCAAAAAACCCTCTTTTCTTGCGCAAGACTTCTTAGAGGCCAGGGATGCACCTTGCTGTAACAATAGTGGGCTTCGGGTGACTTGGGCGAGCAAGCAGCCATGCTCCGGTTTGCTTGGAGCACAGAGGCCGTCTCCTTTTCGGGCTGTGAGCAACTTCTTAGAGCTTCTGGCAGGACTGGAGCAATAAGTTGTCATCGTTTCGGGTTTCGCTTGGCCCAGATTTCGGCTGCCTCTGCAGGGATTGCAAACCTGAAGGTCTGCTCCTTCACGAGGTGTCAGGGTTTTCGAGGACGAAGGCCCGAGGTAGGCATGTCGCAAGCCTTCTGGAAAGGGCAGCAGATTCTTTCTTGCCACTCAAGCCTGCTGCTAAACTTGCTGGCTTTCGAGTAGAGGTGTCGCCACAGAGTACACGCACAGAGAGCCGTCAGGTCAAAAGACGCCCCAAACCCTCTGCCCGAAACCCCGGACCTGGCCCAGGGATCACAGGAATATGTTCAGAATAGCACTGGGATATTGAAACATTGACACACGCACACTGCACACAGACGATGGCGTGAACGTGAACAAACCCTCCGCAACAGCGACGGGCGAAGGTGCGGGTTTCGCTCTGATCCGGACCCGCTTTTTCTTGAGGGCTCCTTTCTGTCTCGCTAGGATTCTGAAGACAATGGCAGCACAATGGCCAAGCCGCCTCGACCCCGTTCCGACTCTGAGGTTCTCTGGAACCGACAGACACCAGCAAGCTCACTGGAAGACTCCCTTTACGAGGCTGCAAGCTTTTTTGTGCCTAAATCTGCAGGTAGCGGCGGAACGGTCTTTTTGCAACAGATGTTCTCTGAACCAACAGCTCAATGCTCTGAAGAAGGAAGCTGGTTCTGAACCACACACACTTGTTTCGCATAAGGCCGAGCTGCACCGTTTCGTAAGCTTCAGACGAGCTGAGGAACCGTACTTTGAAAGACCACAATGTCAGCAAACCTAATCACTCGAGAAACAGGAATAGCTCTGGACGAAGGACACCGGGTCAACATAATATACTTACTCACACGCTTGACTGGAAGTCACACCTAGAATTTGTGTATTAGACTGGCCAGGGCAGGAAATGTCAGCAGATGGGTGAAAGCATGCAAGCATTTCGAAAACGCCACCAGCATGCACACACACACACACAATCCACACACACACACAGAGACACACACAAACTTCAACTGCCTACAAACCGGCACCGGGAATCGACTGTTGCTTTGCGCTTCATGAACGGTCAATGGGTTTTTAAGCTTCGACATTGCAAATTAGCAGATTAGCACAGAAGAAGCAGAAGTTCACATAGTTCCTGCACTTCTTCTTCCCACAGTAGAACGCACTTCTATCATTCTGCAACGTGCGGACAGCACATGACTTGAAGATGCAAAGCCTGAAAAGCCGTCCGTCTACGATTGCGAAGACTTGTCGGATAAGGCAGCATACTGACATGCTGGATTGCTGGATATGAGAAAGAGAGAAAAGAGGCTCTGAACCGAAGATGGCAGCGGGCACTGGCACTGGCACTGCCGGGCCTGGTGCATCGCATTTCCGGTTGCGCGGGTCCTCGACCCAGCACCTGGACTCCTCCGACACGTTGAGCACCTTTTTTTGGGAGGGGAGAGGGGGGGGGGGGGGGGGGCAGAACCGAGAGAACCGGAGCATGGACCGGGACTTGCCCCCGTGGTGCTTGGAGCTCCGTGGGCCTTGAAGATCCGCACGAGGCCCCGCTGGCTGGTGTAAGCTTCTTCGAAGAGATTTGGGTTCACCTGAAGCCGAGCGAAGGGCTGGGGCAACGGGCGGCCAAGGGGGGCCAAGGGGAACCTTGCCTGGACATCCTCCTCCCCGTGCGCATGCCTCCAGAGGCCAGGGTCTGCGAGTCTAAAGGCCCCCTCACGTGGAAAAAAGAAACAGTGGTGCTCCCGAGCGGCAGCTTCCAGAGCAGGGAGCTCTTCATGGTCTCCTGAGCCGACTGCCCCGGACGCAGAGAGGCCCGCGCTGTTCGCAGCTTGGCGGCGCCGAGCCACGCTCGGCCGCTTCGTCTCGCGGTCCAGGTGGAAGGCCCTGCACATGGGCTCGGCGCAAAGGTCGCCGAAGACCTGCGGCCAAGGCAGAGTCCAGTGGACTCTAAGACCTCTAAGACTGCCCCAGGTTTTCTCCGAGAGGCAGAGTTGGCGATTCGCGCCATGTGCGGCGACTTCGCTACGTCATCACCGCCTCGGCTGCACAGGCAGAATGCAGACGAGTGCAGGACGGACCAAGTAAGCCTAAGCTGGCCAGGACTGCCCCAGATGAGGACAAAGTCCGCCAAATGCCGGATGACCTTCGTGTGCTTTGAGCAGGGGCGGCAGGGAAACAGGAGGATGCCTCCGACACTGAGCGCACCTCGTAAGAGTCTTCTTCGGGTCCTGCGGCAGGGATCCATGCTCGAGCACCCGTTGCACAAGGAGTCTCGCTCCTGTCAAACACCAGCCCAGCAAGGCAATGTGCTCATGGTTCCATGTGTTCCCATCTGCAAGGGTGGTTCCTA